GAGGGAAAATGTCCATTTATTACCTCAGCCAAGGAGGTTTTTTTGTGTGTGTAGTAGAGCTTGTTTGTTTTCCTGTATATAGGACAACTTGAAAAGTTATGGACAGAATTGAATTACTTTTTTTTATCAGAGGTATCAGAGGTATTCCTCCTGCCAAGGAATCCATTACATTTTGGTGATGATCCTGATCTCAATATGGATGCAGAACATTTTTAAAAGATTCTCCAACATTGTAATATAGGGATACTTAGTGGAACAAGCAGTTCCCTGCTAAACCAGAGGGTGGCAGCAGTGACTATTGATAGCCTCAGCATTGGACTCAAAAAAAATCCAAATGCATTTAACTGCAGACAAAAACACAAGTACAGGGAAAGTTGTTGGTTGGTCAGCAGGAGCTCTTACGAACTGTTTTTTTCTTTTTCTTTTGGGGGCTTTTACGGCACTAGTGGTTCATTTTATAAACAGTAGGCTGACAGGAAAGAGGATATGAGAGAGGGGGAGAGACATGGGGAAAGGACCACAGGCCAGATTCAAACCCTGGTCGGCCATATCGAGGACTAAGTCCACCAAGCACGCCCCATGATCAGATTTTATGGAATTGTTTTTCCAGAGGTGCAACTCATGCCAAGCAACAATTCATTTATATGTGTAATGATCCAGAATATGTGTGAATTTTAGCTATAGATGTGAGTCACAATTTTGGGCTGCTTAGTGGAGGTCGGTACTCTCTGAATTCTTTACTAGTCTTGTACTTGTTTGATTGAGTGTGTGGCCAGGTCTCCTTTACACCTGAAGCAACACCAAACAAGTGTAGATAGTACAGGTAATGAGTGGAGAACAGGACAGCTTTTTAAAGAAGAACAAACAGACCAATGAGAGCTGGAATTCTTCCCGGTTGATAGGTGATCTAATACTTCATACAAAAAAAAAGAAATTACTTGGAAATCGCTCAATGTTAGTACCCGGATTGACCTGGATTATTAATTCATTCTTTCACTCCCAGTTGAAGAGTACCTATGATAAAAATGAAAGACGTCTTCATGCTTTGCAAATGGGTGAATAGCAAATGTATCAAACTCTTGCTCTCCTCACTGTAT